CTTGCTCCTAGTAGTAAGGCCAGGAGCCCCTAGTAGCGTCCTTGCTCCTAGTAGTAAGGCCAGGAGCCCCTAGTAGCGTCCTTGCTCCTGTCTGGTCCACTCTGGTGACTTCAGCCACAAGCCGCGCCCGCGGCCTCGCAGCCCAGCACCGAGCTCTCTGCGGCGCTGCTGGTCTGGCCGAGGGTCGAAGACGCAGCGAACGTCGAAGCGCGCGGTGGAAGCCAAGGCATGAAGCCCATGGAATTCAAGGCATGGAAGCCAACCAAAGTGTGGCATTCAAAAGGCATTTTGAAGATGCTTGATGGATGTTGATGGGGTTGATTCTAGGAGACATGTGGGTGATTCCCGAAACCAATGGGTGTGAGGAAGCCATTTCCCTGTCCCGGCACCCACGAGGACCAGCTGGTTGAACAACAAAGCACAAAGCACAGGTGTTCCGTCTCTTTCTTCACTCCAGAGAACACCGGCACGTGTGCATCACCACGTGTGCAGCCGCCGCCTGTTGTCCCTGCTTGTGGATGATCACCATCCACATCACTACGAACTCCGCCACTCGCACCAAGTAGTAGGAGTCCTCGTAGCGATAAACACATTCTTGTTGAGAGACTCCCAAGGTAAAATACAATCCTCTTTTGTTCCGTGACTAGAAATGATGGATGCCCCCCTTGGAAAGCTTTGAGAAACGCCAGCCCAAGAGCTCAGTGGTTGGGTCACCACCTGAGTCTCGAACATGGGAAGTCTCTGTGTACTTTCTCCGGTGGACTCCATTTCGCTTTCTTCACCCAAAGCTTTTCACAGTATTGAAATATCCAGATCTTGTTCAGGTTGTCTGGGACAATGCGTATCTTTTTGATGTGATAAAGCCATTTGGAACAAAAGTCTTAATTCAGCTTGTTCTCATCAGAAGCTGGTTTTACCTCGTGTGTCTATGAGTTGAGTTGCGTTTGTAAACCTCACACGTTCATTCACCTCCACCTGACAGCCGTCTCCAGCCGTCTCCCGTCCCAGGTGGGCTCCTTGGGCACCGCATGATCTTCCCTTCGCCAAACTAAAGGTTCCAAGCTCACCAGCACCAAGGGCAACGCCACGAACAAGCCTGGAACCACGCCGATGACCGCGAGCGAGAAAACGAGAGAAAGAACAAACGAGTGTTCTACTCGCGTGGGGCGAACGTCAGCTGCGGCGATTTGGATACGTAAAACGATGCGGATGCCGAACGGGATTCCGAGGATGGGTGAAAAACAGGTGATATTTTGTTGTTTGCTTCACTGGGAGGTGCTTGTTAAATGCTGGGTCTGAGATGCAGCAAGTGAGAATGAGTCAAAAGTGCTTGAGCAGGGGGACCAAACTGAAGCTATTCACTTGCACCACGGTCAGAACCTCTTGTTTCATCGGTATTGACGGTGGATCCACGAAAAAAGCTGCGGTCTATGCAGGAAAAAACACGCGCATGGCAATCGTTCACTTGTACAAAACATGTCCGTAAAAATGGACATGTTGATGGAACACAACTTTTTCACGCTGGTGTCTTTGAACAACCATGTCGTCCAGTCGGTCAAAGGGGTTAGTGAAAACACTGGGTCGATGCCACGAACCCAAAAAACTCACATCCGGAAGTCACATGTCTTAGTATATAGTTCTTTTTAGTACAAGTATGTCTTCGAAGCTTCTTAGTAAAGCTTTCTAGTAACGACCAAAGCTTCCTTGGGAATCGTTTCACTGGGAATCGTTTCATCCGGAACTCTGGAAGGATGAAAAGGATGCAAGCTTCAGCCGCCGTTGGCATGCTCAAGGTACCAAGCTTCAACGAGCTTCAAAAACCGGTGACCAGGTGTGACCACGTGCGACCACGGGACTTAACCACATGTTCCAGAAGCTCCTTTTGGGTAACTTGTTCACTTGACGTCACTTGGGTTGAACTCACCATGCCTGGGATGGTTGGCCAACTGATGTAACTAGGAGTTCAACCATCCATGCCTTCCAGAGTTCTCTACTAGGTTGGAGGCCATCGCTCACCATCCATGCCAACACCCGCCCGTTGAAGCGAATCCGAGTGCCAGGCCATAGGTGAACTGCACAGACTGGTGCCGCACGATTAAGAAGAGCATGATGCCTTGGAGGTCCGGGTCTGCTTTCCTTACCAATCACCGAGAAGAACCGTGAAATTGAATCAATTGAACACATGGTCAACTACTCCAGATAAAAACCGACAGAACTCGGATGATATGTTCTTCCACATTGTCATATGTTTCTCTATATTTGACAACTTTACTGGTGTTTCTGTTGTCGTCGGGGCATCTACATCAAACATGTGCGACCACAACAAGGAACTTTTTGTGGCACTGAGAGTGGCCTCCACGAGATCAAAATCTTGGACGCCTAAATGGTTCAGTTGGGACCGCCCTGTTGTTTTTGATCTCGTTTCGTTTGAAGACGATGCAAAAAGCAAAGGATGCGAATCCCCGGAGAGTGAGACCAGTCACGTCAGCTAAGCGGAGAGTGAGACTCCACGAATCTCGGCGTCTGATTCTATTTATCCAGTGGATAGTCTGGGCATGTCTGGGCCCTCATGTAGCCAATGTGAGCCCAGTCAAGTGTAGCAAAACACGCGCTACCCTTAACCCATCGCAACATGGCTTTCACAGCAGAAATGCAGAAAGCAAAGAATGGTTGCAACATCCACCTCCCAGCAAATGGATGCCTAAAAAAGTCGTCCCACAGCGGCCTTTTCGCAGGTTTTGCTCTCAGGACTGTGCCTTTTCAAGGTTTGGTTGTCTCCCAAATCCCCGTTTTAGGCTGTGTGGATCAGGACATTTGGACCAAATCCCGCTTCGTTCGACTGGCGTAGACTGCGGAATGGGGCAACGGTGCTTCGGTGCTTCCCCGTCCAGCTCAACCCCCCCATCTCCCAGTTTCTTGCCCACGTGGACGAATCCTCAAAGAGACACAAATAAGCAAACAGGAATTTCTAAGCGTTACGCAATAGCGATGGCCTCCAACCCAATAGGAATGGCTTACAACCCAAGGGCGATTGCCTCCAACCTAATCGGAATTTCTAAACGTATGAGTAGCTTAAAAACTGTTGGAGTGAGGGTGGCAATGGCTGCAGCCACCTTTTGTGCACCTTTGTATCCACAAACGGCGCATATCGCATATCTCCTCAAGTAGGAAATCCTGTTTCCTCTAAACTGTCCATGTCCACGGCACGCACCGCGACTTAGCGGCTAGATGCAGAACAAGGCACAGTAGTCTGCGGCTAGGGACCAAAAGAAGCCATACGGGTGGGTCAAACCTGCCAAAAGGGACACAATTGGACACCCTACGAGGGGAAACACCAGTGGCGGTGATGACTAGGTCTGAATGGGTGCGATGATCCCCCTGGGTCTTTTTAGCCATTGGTGGCCGGGTGATCCTTTCTTGTTTCCCACCTTGTTGAGAACTCTGGCTACCTAAAAGCAATGGCCTCCAACCCAATGGGAATGGCCTCCAACCTAATGGGAATGGCCTCCACCCTACTAGCGATGGCCTCCAACCTACTAGCGATGGCCTCCAACCTAATAGGAATGGCCTCCAACCTCTTTCAAGTAAACCCCTGAAATCAAGATTCCTTGAGAAAGTTCCAGCTCATGAGTTGAGTGGAGCTGAGGTTGTTGCACTATGTTTCATCCCTCTACAACAGTATGGTCGCTTCAAATAACCAACAACATCTTGTTGAGTGAAATTTGTTCGCCGTTCATGCAAAAACCGAACATTCGCAGAGTGTCACAGAGGACAAGGCAATGGCCAAGATGCAAAAGCAAGCGCACGCGTGCGTTCTTTTTTTCACAGGCACTTCTACAAGACGTTTTGAGATGACAGTTAGGAAAGTAGGGTATGCCAGCCAAGCAAGCATTTTTTCTTCAACATCTTATTGTCTTTGGGGGAAAGCTGGGCAGTTCCACCCTTTCCTTGTAAATGTTGATAAAGCATCCGATATATCGGCCGGCCGTATTCAAATGTGCCTTCGGGCCGGTGAGGTCACCAATGAGATTCGATCATTCCAAGCTGGTCACCGGTGAGGTCCGTCGCAGAATCGCACAATACACCACACCAACAGGACTGAACGCCCTACACGGTGAGAAAATAGACTCACAAACAATCTTGCACTCCCCCCCAAAATGCCACACAAATCAAACTCACCCATGCGGTTAAACGTTCAACTGCAAAGTTGCAAAGACATGATACACACTGAGAAGGTTCTGAAACCATGAAAAGCTTTCTTTGGGAACCAACTGAGCAAAGGCAGTGAAACCATCTTCACCGCACGTGGTCCACCGCACGGTCTTCGCTCCACCGGTGGGTCGAACGCGCCTGAGAAGACCGCGAGCGTGGCGCTCCGTGCGGCGATCTCAAAGGCCCTCATGATGGCGACGGCTGCCACGTACCTCAGGTTGGAGAAAGCTAAAGCTACGAAGGTAGCTGGCATTACTAGGAGCAAAGGATGCTACTAGGGGCTCCTGCAAATAGCTACGAACGTAGCACGGTGCCTTACTTGTAGTAACATGCGGCATTACTACTCGGCCGGGGCGACAAAGGGGGAAGGCGAGGTAGTACGGAAGGCAATGGCCTCCAACCTACTAGCGTCCTGGCAAGCAGTAGTCTAGCAGCCTAGCAAATGATATTGGGTCCTGTCAAAGACCAGTGTCCACATTGCACAAGGCCCTCCAAGCTCTCCTTTATCTTCAGTTGGACTTGGATGTTGGCCCATCAATAGAACAAACATGAGGCAGGACCAAACTCTTTGATGTTTCCAACATGCAATCATATCATAGGGTTGGGCTAGGAAGTTGTAAGCAGTAGTCTAGCAAATGATATTGGGTCTGTTCCATCCCCTTTAGCTATCCGGCCACATGACACAAATCCAGAGCGCCCCTCACATAAGATTGACTAACACCAATGAGATAGACCGACCCTATGAACCGATAGTTTGGGCAAGTTCACGAAAGTGTCACTCCTGTCCATCCCTCTGAGAAAAGTAGTTTGTGGTAAGTCGGAGTTCGCCGTGGCTCCCCCAAAAAGGATCCTAAGTCCTAATATAGTTTGCTTCTAAGTTGGAGGATGCTAGAAGGGGCTCCTGGCCAAACTACTAGGAGCAAGGACGCTACTGGGGGCTCCTGGCCTTACTACTAGGAGCAAGGACGCTACTAAGGGCTCCTGGCCTTACTAGTAGGAACAAGGACGCTACTAGGGGCTCCTGGCCATACTACTAGGAGCAAGGACGCTAGTAGGGGCTCCTGGCCATACTACTAGG